CTCCTGGGGAGCCGACTCCGGGCGGGCGGCCAGGGGCAGGTGGAGACTGCAGGGGCCGGATGATATGCGAGGGGCTGGCTTCGCCGCCTCCCCCCAGGGAGCTGGGCCCCCAGCCTCCACCATGGCCTGAGAGCGCAGGCGAATGGCCGGTGCTATAGCTGAGGGACGGGCTGGCAGTGGGCAGCCCCTGGGAGTGGGCAGCGGGCCCGGGGTATGGCTCGCCCTGCACTCCATATAGCTGCCCCTGCAGCTGGTCTGGGGAGTAGCTCTGGCACGTGGCAAGGCCAGGAGGTGGGGGGCCGCTAGGGGGCTGCGGGGGGCCCCCAGAGTACCCTGGGCCTTTGCTCAAGTCCTGGGCTTGGCCTCCCCCAAAGCCCTGTCCATAGGCCTGAGGGCCCAGAAGCCCTTGGGGCTGCCCGGGAGAGTAGGCCTGGCTGCCCGCGCCCCCGGCCCCAGAGGCCTTTGTGGTGCCATAGGCAGCCGCAGGTCCACCCAGGCTCTGGCATTTCGGGGTGGCCGTGGAGCGGGGTGGCGGGGGCCTGGTGGCACCACCCGCAGCTGCTGCATAACCACCTTTGCCCGTCTTGTACCCCGGGGACTGAATGATGGGCCGGTACCCGCCACCACCCCCAGCACCGCCTCCCCCCGCCGCCTCCGGGCCGGCCGCCCGGCCTGAGGCCCCTCCTGCAGTGCCGCTGGGCCCCGCCTTGCTGGGCTCCCCAGCGCCGGGGGAGGGCTCCCCCCCACCCAGGGGACTGCAGGCCAGGTTGGCACGGTGACCCATGGAGGGGTAGCTGCCTCCGCAGCTCAGGTAATGCTGGAGGGCATGGGCCGGGGGCGGCGGCGGGGGCTGGCCACTCGCTGGCCGCTGGTAGTGCTTAATGACGGTGTCCTGCCGGGGCAGGGCCCGCTCAGGGGGAGGGGGGCCTGGGGCAGCCCCTGAGAAGTTGTAGAGCTGTGGGGAGGACTGCTCGGCGGCAGCGGCGGCGGAAGAGGAAGCCAGCAGGTTGAACTGAGTTGGGAGGTGGCGGGGAGGGGGCGGCGGATCTGGGGGGCCCGGGCGGTAAGGAGGGGTCTGGGCAGGTCCGAGGCCGGCAGGCCCCAGCACACCACTGCCCGCCAAGCGCTCAAAGCCAAGCGAGGAGGGCACCGTGGGGGCTTGCGAGGGCTTCAGGTGAAGCACGTCGTGAGGGGACAGGAGCCCATTCGCTGGGGGGCTGAACGGAGGGTCCTGCAGACTCAGGGATGAGGGCACGGGGAACGTGCGGCTGCCGAAGGAGGCCGGGTGCTGGTAGGCTGACAGGGCGGAGGAGGACGGGAAGGTGCTGGAACCCGGCAGGGCACCCGAGATGAAGAGTTCCGTGGGGCCTGGCGTGTGCATGGCTGGGGAAGCCGGAGGAGACCAGAGGTCACGAGCCCACCCTGCCCACCCCTGGCCCTCTGGTGGTCAGGCACCCTACTTACCCGTTTGCCAGGAAGGACTGCGGAACTGGGAGAGAAGCGAGGAGGCAGAGGGACCCGGCTGTGGGCCCCGGGACTCCAGGGCTGAGATGAGGTTCATGACGGAGGCGTCAGGCCCGGCGGAGCCCGCGTGGTGGAGGCCAGTGTCAAAGAGTCCAGAAAGGCCTGGCCAGAGACAGGGTCAGTAAGGTCAGTAAGGTGAGGGCGAGACAGGATGCCATGAAGAAAGACCAAGAGCAAGGGGGGCTGTGATGTGAAGGCAAATGGGCAGAGACAGACACAGGGAGGGGACCTACCATACGGAAACAGGACCACAGGGGAGAGAGGGCAATAGGAAACAGGAAGCAGAATGAACGGCTGGGTCACAGGGGGAGAAAGCACAGAAGGGAAGTAGAGGAACGAGGAGGAGGCACAGGGGTATAAGGAGGAATCACTCGGGGCAGGGTGGGTTGGATAGAAGGCCACAGTTTGGGGGGAAACAGAGACTGGGATGTCTGGAAAGGGGTTGATACAAAGACAAAAGGTTAGGAGTGGGGGAAAAGGAGAGAGCAAGCCAGCTAGGACGCTCAAGAATCAAACTGGACAGCATAATTTGGTCCATCTAGGAAGGAGGGTGGCCAGCTTCAAGAGGAGAACCAATCAGAAGCGTTAGAGAGAGACTAAGGTAGGAGAGCCAGGATCAGGGGGGCGGTGCAAAGATTCAGAGCCAATCAGGAAGAAAGGGAATCAGGAAGAAAGAATTCAGAGAACCTAGGAGCAGAGCATGAGGTAAATCCAGAAGGGAGAGACTGGGGGGGGGGCGTGGGGGGAGGGGGGGCAGGGGGGCAGAGGTTGCTAGAGAGGTAGGAAACCTGGATGAAGAGGTGGGATTTGGGAAATGATGGGAAGGGGCAAACTGAAGCAAAAGAGTTGGGGGCAGAGGCCCGGGCAGATGAATCTGGCATGAAATTAAACAGGGACCAGCAACCTCAGAAACAACCAATCAGATGAAAGATGGTAAGGGGCAGTAAAAAAACCTTCTGCATGGCCAATTAGGAGGGGGTGGAACTTTCAGCATCCAACCAGCTGCCTCGGAGGGCAGGCCAGGCCAGGCCAGGCAGGGTGAATGGGATGGGGGCCCGTACCTGCCGGGTGGTGGTTAGTGGCATAGCTTTGCAGTGGGTGGGGGGCCGCGTAGGCCTGGCGGTGTAAGATGTCCGTCTCAGGGTGCGAGGTCCTGGAGCTGCCATAGACCAAGCTGAATGGGGCAAGAGGGAAAATGTTAGAATATTCCCTGGAGCAGGAAACTCAGCAAATCCCCCGAGATTGGGGGACTCTTCCGGCTGACTGGATGTTACCCTAAATTTAGGCAAGAACACAAGAGAATTGGGGTCTCCCTCAAGCCCCACGAAGTAGAGCCCAGATTTAAAAAAAAAAAAAAAACACAGGCACAGAGACAAAACACTGACTGGGAGGGGAGAGGGGAGGGGTTGAAGGGCTGGGGGGGTGGGGAGGGGAAGGAAGTGCCTCGGGTTTAAAAGTGAAAGGCATGGCTGGATCGCCCCCCCCCATCGTACAGGTGACACAAAGGTGCACAAGGACCCCCCCCCTTTGCAAACACGTGGGAATTCAGGGACTTGGGAGCAGGAGGCTGACTGTTCCTCAAACAGCAGGGCTGGGGGGCGGGGAACGGCAAGGGGACAGGAGTAGGGAAAGTACCAGGTACAAGTGCTAACACGACCGCCATCCATCCCCCAGGGTTGAGGTTCAAATGCATAAGCCCATGCAAAGCCAGGTATGTGTGCAGACGAGTATGCAGCTCCCCAGCGGGAAAGACAAGAGTGTGGAGGTCACAAGGAAGATCCTCACGCACGTGAGGGTCCAGCCCCGCCGCGGCTAGGAACCCAGCTGTGCGGAGGCAAAGGGCGCCGGGGGCAGGTGGAGCAAAGGCAAGGCAACAACAGGAAAGGGGCAGACTCGCCAGCCACACTAGCCACTGGCACACACCCGGGAAATATCCGACTTTCCCATGCATCCGCCCAAGCGCGGCCCACACAGGTCACACACTCCACTGCCCGCCATCAACTACGATTCTCGACCTGGGGGGGTGGGGGGACTAAAGGGGGCGTGCCTCTAATGCCAAGGGCCCCCCCCTTACAAACAACCCCAGCATAGAAAGGGGGCGGGGCCCCATGCCCACTCTGCGCGCGGAATTTGGTGGGGGGGCCCGCCGGGTGGCGCGGCCTCGCGCAGTCCCGGAACAATAGGACCGTGGGGGGGGGCGCGCCCCCCAAGTCTGCGTTCTAAGTCTCCTTTCCCTTCCACCTTTTGCAGGACCAAAGCCCGGGGCGCGAGGGGGAGGGGTCAGCAAGCCGGGAATCCGAAGATGGGGGGAAATCCAGGCCTTGCTCCGCCAGTCCCTCCCACCTTCCCAAGGCCTTTCCGTCCGAAATTGTTTGTGCACCCCATTTCCCCCGCTGCATCTCTCCCTTTGCATGCCGGAGCTGGCTTTGGCGGAGTTTGCAATTTGCAAACTGGGGCGGCGGCGTGGTTGCAAACCGAGGAAGGCCGCTCCCTTGCAAGCCGGAGGGGAGTTTGCGATGCACGCGTCGCCGGGCGGGCCCGGCCCGGCCGGGCTCGGCGGGGCCCCCACCCCAGGGTCCCTTCCTCCAGGCCACCCTCGGCTCCTTACCTAGCTTTTGCTGACCTCTCGTAACTCCATCCCGCCCCGGCGCCGAGCGGGTCCCCGAAGCCGGCGCTGGGGTAGTTCCTGTCCATGAATTGGCCGCGGTGGAAATTGGGGGGAGGGGGAGGGAGGGAGGGAGGGAGGGAGGGGGCGCGCGCGCGCTCTCCTCCGCCGCCGCTCCCTCCGCTGCTGCTTTTTTTCTTCTCCCTCTCTCTCTCTCCCTCTCTCTCTTTTTTTCTTTGCAGCCGCGGAAAGGCCCGGGAAGGCCCCGGGCGGGGGAGGGAGGGGGCAGGGGCGGAGGGGCGGGCAAGGGAGGGGGTGCAGCCGCCGAGCCAAGGAGGGGGGAAGGGGGGTTCCCCCTGGAGGGAAAGGGGGGAGGTGGGACCCCGCTGTCTCCGCCTTTGCCCCGGCGCTTGCAAGAGAAAAGGGGGCGCGCGCTCAGGAGGGGGCGTCCCGGGCGGCCCCGGGGTGGGTGCGGGCGCTGGGTGCTCGCTCTCCGGCCGCCGCCACCGCCGCCTCCTCCTCCTCGGCGTTCACGGTGCAGCCATCTTTGCACAAGGCGGCTGGGGGAGGGGGGAGGGGAAGGGGGGGCGGGCGGCGGGGTGTCTGGCTGCGCTCCGCTTCCTCCCACAATCCCGTGCAAATGCAAAAAAAAAAAAGGGAGCGAGAGCCAGAGAGAGCGAGCAAGAGAGAGAGAGAGATTGAGAGAGAGAGAGAGGGAGAGAGAGAGAGAGAGTGCGCGAGCGAGACCGAAAGCAACCAGGGCCTGGGGTGTAGGGCGCTGCGTTTGTACGGAAGGCCAGCTCAGCCGCGCGCAGCCGCACCAAGGAAGGCGGTTCAAGCTTTTTTTTTATTTTTTATTTTTTTGCAGTTTCACTTTTTTGCGGGGGGGTATCTTTCCAAAATGCTTCTATTTCGGGGGAGACCTCACCTCCACACACATACAGGGGGTGGTGTGGTACACAGCACCCTCCCCTCATCTCGAGACCATGAAACGCCCCTGGGTGCACACCCAGAGCACCCCGTGAAGGACGATCCTTCCATGCACAGCCGGAACCCCGTGTGCAGTGGTCGGTCACACCTGCTCACGCGCTAGTCTTCCCAGACCCGGTGCTCCTGGGTCCGAGTTGTTACGCACTCCCTGGGAGTGGGACAGTCTGAAGAACACAGGGGCCCGCGAGAGACACGCTGGCCACGGGGACCGGCTTTTATCCGTATGCGGTGTTAGCACATGTGCCAACGCAGACTTCGGGCTGGGCGACCCCTACTCCCGCCCCACCCCACGCTCAGCTCCAGAGTTGAAGCCTGGGGGCTTCCGGAATCCGGTGCGAATCTGGGGCACAATTCTGGGAACCCGGGCTTCGAAACAGATCTTCAGCGAGACCTCCTGAGGCTGCAAGAGGAGGGGCACAGTGGGGAGTCAAAGACCCGCTGTCTTTTCTGCCCCCCCCCCCCCCCCCGACCTAGGCCACTCCGGGCCTCTCAGCCAATCCCGAACCCGCTAGGCAGTAGTCCCACCCCCTGCTAAAGCCGCACACACGCCGCTGGGCCACGCCCCCTGACAATTGCTTGGACAACGCCCCCCGCGCCAAGCCCCGCCCAGAAAGGCTTATTTCCCCAGGTCCCGCCTCCTGGGCGCAGGCTCCTCCCCCTGTTGTGCCCGCCCCTCGGGGCCCCGCCTCCGAGCACAAGCCTGGCCCTGTACCTCGAGTAGGGGGGTGGAGGCGCGTCATGCACCCCTGAGGCCGCTAGAGCCTGCTCGTAGGTGGGCAGACCCGGAGGTGGGGGTGGCAGCAAGGGCGGCGGTGAGCCCAAGGAGCTCAGGGGGCTGATGAGCTCGGTCCTGGAAATACAAAGGGTGTGCAGTTAACCCGGGCAACAGGGGCCGGAGGGATAGTACTGGATGTGTATGAAGACCACCAGAGTTCTATCCCTGGCACCTCACCTAGTCCCTTGAGCATCACCCAGGACTGATCCCAGAGCACTGGGCCAGGAGTAAACCCTGAGCACCATTGGATGTGGCCCCCAAAACAAACAAAAATGGTAAACTGAAAGGTTAAAGACACAGGGGAAAAGATAAGGAGGGATGACAGAGAACAGCTAAGGAGGCGCATGGACCAGAGAAAGAGTCACCTTCACCCTGACCCTGAAGACAGGCAGATGGCACACAGGCAGAAACAGGAAACAGGTGCTTTAACACATGCGTGCCCCAGCTCCAGCAGAATCCAGGAGAAAACCCTGCAGAGCTGGGACAGTAACAAGGGTGACGACAGCGACAAGGACACACAGACAAAATCCAGATCTACACCCCCCAGACCTCTCAGATCCACTCGCAAACCCCAGGCCCACTCTACTCTCAGGGCTCACACAGAAATACTTTCCTCATTCATTTTCTTCGGGGCTTGGGCCACTTGTATGGTGCTAAGGGGCTATTTCTGGCTCTGTACCCTTGCAGTGTTCCAGTGCCCATACAGAGCATGTTGGGTTTCAAACCAGGCCCAGCGGGATGTAAGGCCTGACCACCTGTATTATCTTTCCAGCCCCTCACATCCCCTCTTTCACCCTGCCCTGAGAAAGTGTAGAGAGATGCCCGGGTGCCAGGCCGAGAGGCAGAGCACAGATGCCACCGGCATGAAGCCCTAGGTTCAACCCACAGCACACACACAAACACGTGCACCAAAGGGCACACCTAGACACCTGCTTCCGCACTAACTCAGACTAACACATGCATGCTATACCCTGTAACCACGAAACTCACATACCACACACTCCCACACACCACAGGCCAGCCCGGACAGGGACAACAAACAGCCTCTGCTGACAAGCACACATGAACCTGGGTCTTCAGACAGACAGCAGAAAATAAGATTCCACTGTGGGCCAGAGGATTAAGACAGACTCCACCATACACAACACATGCGCGCACACGCACGCACGCAGACAAAGACACAGATACAGAGATACACAGAGAGAAACAGACTCACAGACACACACAGACATACACAGACACACAAAGACACACACTGACACACACACAGACACACACATGCAGACAAAGACACAGATACAGAGACACAGAAACAGAGAGACTCAGACACACAAAGACACAGACACACACACACACAAAGACACACAGACACACAGAGATATACACAGAGACATATACACACAGACACACCTTTCACATGACTAACACTGACCTCTCTCCACATCTGCCTGCTCAAACCCTTAGGTCTCCATCCCCGCCCACTCTGTCCTTTACCCTCTACTCTCTGCTCCCGGAAAAAGATGCCTCCTTACTCTTGGGGACAGGGGTGCTGCGGACCCCGACGCTTTCTCCAGTGCAGATACCAAAAGGCTCCGAGGCCCACCAGGATGATGAGCAGAATGCCGGATGTCAGTCCCACAGCCAGGCCGGCGACATCCACTCGTGCACGCCCTGTAGTGGGGGATATAAAAGGGGGGTATCACTGCCTCCTGGATTGCCAGGTACCCTCATATGCCAGGGAGGAGTGCAGGTCAAGAAGTCAGGCCACTTCCCAGCCACCTGACCTCAGGCAACTCATTCTGTTCCCATGAGCTGCCCTCCACTTCCTGCTCTGGAAAAAAGGAGCAATAACGGCACCCTCACGGGCTGAGCAAATGCCCTGTGTTCCACAGATGCCAAAATCACTGATAGCGGGCCAGAGAAATAATACAGCAGGGAGGCAGCTACCTTGCTAATGACCAACCTGAGTTCAATCCCTGGCATCATATGATCCCCCAAGCTCCTCCAGGAGTGATCCTTAAGTGCAAACCAGGGTAAGTCCTAAGCACTGCCTGGTGTGGTGCCCTCCAAAAAAAACCCTGACAGAGCCACCTGGCTTCTGAAGATGAGACTCCATGCAGAGGTTCCTCCTGCACATGGGGTGGGTCGAGGTTCCCGGGAGTCAGACATATAGCAGGTTTCAAGAAGCCCCACAATTACAAGCATTACCAGATTTGGCAAACACTAATATAGGCCACCCGTTGTGTGTGAATTTCAGGCAAGCAATGAGCAATTATTTAGGGGGAAGGAGTGCTAGGACATGGGAGAACATGAGATGCCGTAGAGCTAACTCAGGTCAGCTGCATATAAGGCAGCATCCGTACCCCTACACCTGGCACCCCAGATGGTCTTCCAAACACTGCCAGGAGTAATCCCTGAGCACAAATCCGGGAGTAAGTCCTGAGTACAACCGGGTGAGCCCCTTCAAAAAAAAATATATTCATGGGTCAGTCTGACTGCAGGCTTCAAATGCCCCAGCATTTCATGGTCTCCTGAGCGCCAATGAGAGCAACCACCAAGTGTAGCATTGGGAATAGCCCCCAAAATAACACTTGGTGTGGCCCAAAATGTTTCCTTAAAAATTTTTCCTTGGAGGGTAGGACCATAATACAGTAGGTAGGGCATCTGGCGTGTATGCGGCCAACCTGATCACTGGCATCCCACAGAGTCCGCCCAAGCACTGCCAGGAGTGATTCCTGAGTGCAGAACAAGGAATAAGGCCTAAGCACTTCCAGGTGTGACCCAAAAATCAACATTTTTTTCCCTTAGGGCCGGAGCAATAGTGCAGAGGGTAGGGCCTTTGTCCTGCACTTGGCCAACCCTGTTTTGATCCCTGGCATCCCATATGGTCCCTTGAGCACATTCCAGAGTAATTCCTGAGTGCAGAGCCAGGTGTGGACTCGAAACAACAAAAATTCCTGGGTCAGGAAGATGGGTTAGAGGGCTGGAGTGCATGGAGTTTCAGTTTGATTACCAGCATCACCAGATCCCTGCCCCCAGCACCTCCAGTCGGGCTAAAATGGCTCCCCTTTCTCCCCACCAACTCTGAGGATAGCCCCACCCCCCACCAGCACCAGCAAGCAAAACAAAATACAAAATAAAAGCATTCTGGTGTATATAAAATTCCAACGGCAAACGAGGCCTGGGGTGTGGGAGGTCTGTATTTTCTCTGGCAATCTTGGCCCCCCCACCACCAATGCAGCCACTTTTGCTGACCAGGCCACTGGGGGGCGTGTGATGCCAGTCTATTCACTGCCCAGCGGAGGGTCTCATGGACAAAAGCTATAGAAATGTCCTTTCTCAATGGAGGAGTTTAGGGGGCCTCCTTCCCCAGGTTGCCGGGCGGCAGGAACAGAAAGGGGCTCTCTGCCACGGAGCAGCGCTCTGTTGTCAACTGGAGCCTGGTTTTTGTGTTGTCTTTGGGGGAGACTGGAAGGAACCTGGGTCTGGTCTGGGACATGCAGAGCCCGAGCCTTCCACCTGAGCTGTATCCTGGATCAAATCGTTGAGAAAAGGGAGTGAGAGCTCAGGCTTGAGAGATTTCTTTCAGCAAGGCAGAGTGGGCTGGGTCAGAATTCAGGGTGCAGTGCGGAGCCTTTACCTGCCGCCCTGTCTGTCATGGGGTAGGCGGTCCCCCACTAGTAAGGGGCTCCTAATATTTGGGTTCCAGCCCAGATCCAGAGCCTGTTGCTAAGGTACATCTACCCTAGCAACCAGGACACAAGGCAGCCAGGGGCTGCTGGTCCCTGATGGGGTCCTCCTATGGGCAGGAGGCCTGGGGTCTCCAGCCCCACTAGATGTGGTTGCTAGGGAGAAGGCCTCCTTAGCAACCAGGCCCTGCGGGGATAGGGCTGTGGGGGAGGGGAGGACAGCCAGGTAGCTGGGGCTTCTGCTTCCTCCATCCCATCAGGCCAAGCCTCCTTGTTGCTAAGGAGCTGCCCCCTTAGCAACGAGGCTGCTGTCCTGATGGTGCCTCAGAATTCAGAGGAGGGGTTTGTCAGTGGAGAAGATTTGGCAGGTGAGGAGACACAGGCTTCCAGTCTCCATTGCTAGGGCAGCCCCCCAGCAACACAGCCCCACTAGGGACTGTAACCAGCCCAGACTGCCGAGGAACCGAGAGGCTAGGCCACCATCCCTCCCTCCACCCCACTTCCCCTTCCGGGGGTCTTTGAGTCACAGACTGTAGTCCAGAGTTGACTCATACAACAACCACATTCAGGAACGAAATGGATGGTGGGGTTGTGGGGTACAGGATGGGCGTGGGGGGAGCGTGGGACCAGTCCCCTCCGCAATCAGGAACTCTAACGGGGTTGCCCTCCACTCACCTCCTTTGCCATTATGGATGTAGCCCTCCCAAAAGCGTTTCTGCAAAGGAAAGGAGTCAGAAGGCAGGAAAGCCAGGGGGTCCCCTGAGACAGCACCCCTACCCCCGGCCTCACGGTCAGAGTATTGTCCTCAAAGTATTCCCTTGCTTCCTCAAAGGAGCACTTCTCCTCGATGCACTCCCGCTCTAGGTTCCCAGGCGTGAAGAGCTCCAAGTCCCAGTGGTTGGCTCGTGGAACCCGCTTGAGGGGACCCAGGAAATTCTGGGCCTCTGGGGAATCCAGGAAGATGTCCGGGCCTAAAGGACAGAAAAATGAAGGATTGCATAGAGATCCCTCAAGCACTGCAGGGAGTGAGCCCTAAGCCCAGAGCCAGGCGGAGCCCTGGGTGCAACCTAACACTGCCCACTATGCATAAATAAAACGTTCTCAGGGCTGGAGGAGTCATGAGCAACCAGAACCTGAAAGGTGACAGAGGCAAGGGATCTTGGCTGGGGAGGGGATTTCAGTGCCCAGATGCGCTGGGCTCTTCCCCCCAGTACTCACTGTGGTCTTGCTCCCCATCAAGAGAGGTATAGAGACAGGTGATCAATCCCACATACAGCAACAGCAGAGAGGGGTTGCCCCTCATATTCTGGGGAAACTGAAAGCAGGTAGAAATGGATGTCACTCAAACCCCAGGTTCAAGGTTCACTCTCCCTGGCTACGCCAAGGATTCGTCACAGTGGGACCCACAACAGTCCAGCCAGTGCCCTGTCTGCTCAGTTTCACTTTCCCATCCCCACTGGCCAGCTGAGAACATTTAGCACCCAGAGAGCTAAAAGGACTTATCCAGTGCCCTACGGTCTGCAGGAGTGAGAGGCAGTCCTAGAGCCTAGCAGGCCTAGGCAGACCTAGGCCTGGGTCTTGAGCATGGCCTTCACTCTCTCTCCAGCGTAACTGCAGCATCCTGCAAGGGCACTCAGAAATGCACCCTGAGTGGCAGGAGTCTGTCTGCAGGTGTTACCACTCGACACCCATAGCCACATCCACCCAGTGAGATCAATGATCACAGAAGCAACCTGACAGTCGCTTCTTCCCTTTGGGGGCTCCAGGGGGAACTGAATGGGACAGATGCCCTGGACACTTGGGTGAAGGGAGAGTCCTAACATTCTGGGTTCTAGCGAGTTGGGGACCAGGACAACCAGGGTCCCCTCCCAGCTTCTGTCTCCAAGGACATTCACTTACCAGCCCAGACTCGGATGTTCTCTTCCCCACTTTAATCAGGGTCTTGGGGGCGCACTGTGGTCATCTGTGAAGGGGTGGGGCCAGAAAGAGGGGAGGGGAAAGGCGGGAGAGGTGACCCACTCTTCTGGAAGATCCTGGTTTCTGACAGAGGGCGGGGTTTTTATTACCTGCCCTGGGCGGGACTCAGGTAAGGACAATTTATTTAAAGGGACCCTGGGGTAAATGGCAGCATTCTACAGGGATGCTGTGAACTGGATACAGATCTCTCCTGCCCTTTACTCCAAGGAGCCTGTCTGGCCTAACTAGGGAAAAAAATGTGGAGGCTTCCAGATAAGTCTCAGGTTGAGAAACTGGCAGGAACTAGAAACCTTGGTCCCTGGGGTCTGCAAAAAATGCCATAGAGCAATTTCCCAAGCTGATCTGATTCCGTGTCCTCTCTTTATAAAACGGGGACAGAAGAGTCCCTTTTCAATTGTGTCTTTAATTTTTTATTTTTTGGGTCACACCCAGCTGTGTTCTGGGCTTACTCCTGGCTCCGCGCTCAGGGATCACTCCTGGAGGGCTCGGAGAACCCTATGGGATACCGGGACAGAACCTGAGTCGGAGGCGTGCAAAGGCCGCGCCCTACCCGGTGTTTTACCGCTCTGGCCCCCTCAATTGTGTCTTAAAGCATAACAAGAAAAAAGGTATTAACTAGTTGGGAAAGTGGCCTTCCCAACCTGGGGAAGCGGTCAGTACTTTAACTCGGACTTGGAGTGGGGCACCAGCCAAGGGACAATCAGGAAATCGCCCACCCAGCGCAATGCCTAGCGCAAATCAAACGCACTTCAAATTTACATCGGCTTCACGAACCGGAACCCTCGGGTTGACACTCGCGTTTCCGGAGGGAGGGAGGAAGGGTAGAAGACAGAACTTACCAAGGCGCTCCGAAACTCGGGGCAGCTCCACTTCCGGTCTGTTCTGAAGCGGAAGCAGAGGGAGAACTCCGCGCTCACTTCCGGTGTGTGGGCACAGTCGCGGAGACCGCGCAGACACCGGGAGTTGTCGGTGAGGTGAGTCCAGGCAGCAGGTGAGTAGTGTTTGTGGCACTGCCGCTGACGAGAATCATGGGGTCCTGATAGAGACCGGGGCAGGCTTTCGAATTCCCAGTCGCCGGTTAATCATTAAAAGAGCGGGCCAGGCCTCCCAGTTTGGAAGTCGGACTACATCTCCCAGCATCCTCTCGGTCCCCCGCGGTTCCCTTGAGTCTGGATGCAGGCCCTCAGTGACGGACCTTGGGCCGGGAGTTCCTGGGCAAGAGAATTTGAGACTCCTGGGGATCCAAGGGTGTCGGGTACGATGGACCTCCCTCCTGGCTTCAGTTTCCCTGGCTGTGATGGGGAACGCGGGTGGGAGCTGCGGAGGGGTAAGAAAAATTGTGTCGTCGCTTCCCCTTACTCCGGTCCGTGCTCCGCTCTTGTTGCCGCCCCCTTAACGCTATCCTCTGGATCTTTGGGCTCTGTCCGTCCTGGGTTCATGTCCTGATAGCGCTGTGCATTCTGTTCTTATGAACAGCCTACAAACACCGTTTACTTGGAGGTTTTATTATCATCATTATTATTGCTATTATTATTGAGCTGGAGCGATAGCACAGCAGGTAGGGCGTTTGAACTGGATATAGATCTGGATATAGATCCACCCTGTGGATGGATAGTGTGGATGGCACGCGGCCGACCCGGGTTCGAGGGTTCGATTGCTCCGTCCCTCTCGGAGAGCCCGGCAAGCTACCAAGAGTACCCCGCCCACATGGCCGAGCCTGGCAAGCTCTCCGTGGCATATTCGATATGCCAAAAACAGCAACAAGTCTCACAATGGAGTCGTTAATGGTGCCCGCTCGAGCAAATCGGTGAACAACGGGAGGACAGTGCTTCTTCTTCTTATTATTATTATTTTGGCTCTTTGGGTCACACCCAGCAGCGCTCAGGGGTGACTCCTTCCGGATTTAGAGAGTTTGAGGTTTCCTGTGTTTTTTTCTTTCTTTCTTTGTTTTGGTTGTTGTTCGTTTGTTTGGGGAGGGGACCCCACCCAGCAGTGCTTGGATTTACTCCTGGCTCTGTGCTCAGGGATCAAGCTGAGACCCACCCACTGTGCTCTCTGGTCCCCTTAATGCTATTCTCTGGATCTTTGGGCTCTGTCCATCCTGGTTTCATGTCCTGATTGCTCTGTGCATTCTAGTCTTATGAACAGCCTACAAACACCATTTACTTGGAGGTTTCATTATCATCATCATCATTATTATTATTATTTTATTATTATTATTTTGTTGTGCTCCTTGGGGATGTCAGGATTGTAGAGTCTGTGTGTTATGTGGCTGCACTTGGGACCATGTGCTCCAGAAACTATGGAATATTTAACTGGACAGTGAGCTTACATGGCAGCAGTTGTGGGGTGTGAGTGTGGCTGCCAAGGCTTTTGGAAGTATGGGGCAGTGGGGAGGCTGCCCACCCCCACTCTGAGAAGACTCGAGAGTCTGGAAACCCAACAGTTTGAGTAGTTTGCATCTCTGCAGAGCTGTGGGGTCCAGCGGCTTGCAGGGAGTGGAAGCATGCTGGGGTGCAGCCTGAGGAAGAGATGACTGCTGTGCTCTGTGCTGCAGCCCCTCTCTGTGCGCATCTGCCAGCCATCCTCCTACTGTCTGAGAGATTGCAGTGTTCTTTGACAACGTGGGCTGGAGCGATAGCACAGCGGGTAGGGCATTTGCCTTGCACGCAGCCGACCCGGGTTCCATTCCTCCATCCCTCTCAGAGAGCCCGTTAAGCTACCAAGAGTATCCCACCTGCACGGCAGAGCCTGGCAAGCTTCCCGTGGCGTATTCATTATGTCAAAAACAGTAACAAGAAGTCTCACAATGGAGACGTTACTAGTGCTTGCTGGAGCAAATCGATGAACAACGGAAGGACAGTGCTACATTATTATTTTGGCTCTTTGGGTCACACCCAGCAATGTTCAGGGGTGACTCCTGGCTCCCCACTGAGGAATTACTCCTGACGTGCTCCGGGGTCTGTATGGGATGGCGGAGATCCAACATGGGCTGGCCACGTGCAAGACAAATTCCCTCCTCTCTGTACTATTGCAACCACCCTTGGAGGTTTTATTATGAAAAAATTGAAACATACAGACTGGACTGGAGTGATAGCACAGTGGGTAGGGCATTTGCCTTGCACGCAACTGACCTGGGTTTGATTCCTCTGTCCCTCTCAGAGAGCCCAGCAAGGTACCGAGAGTATCCTGCCCACACGGCAGAGCCTGGCAAGCTCCCCATAACATATTCGATATGCCAAAAACAGTAACAAGTCTCACAGTGGAGACATTACTGGTGCCTGCTCGAGCAAATTGATGAACAACGGGAGGACAGTGCTACAGTGCTACAGACTTTTTATTTTGGGGAAGGGGACAGTTTGAGCCAAACCTGGCATTACTCAGGGTTTACTTCTGGTTCTCCACTCAGGAATTATTCTTGGTGGTGCTCAGGCATGGGGTGCCAGGGATTGAACCTGGTCAGGTGCCTTACCTGCTATATTATCTCTCTGGGCCCAAATGTGACTTAAGTGAAAGAACAGTATAGACTTTTTGTGAAAGAATAGTGTAAGAGGGACTGGAGCGATAGCACAGCGGGTAGGGCGTTTGCCTTGCACGTGGCCGACCCGGGTTCAATCCCCAGCATCCCAAATGGTCCCCCGAGCACCGCCAGGAGTGATTCCTAAGTGCATGATCCCGGAGTAACCCCTGTGCATCGCTGGGTGTGGCCCAAAAAGCAAAAAAAAAAAAAAAAAAGAATAGTATAAGAATCCCCACTGCCCAGATTTACCATTGCTAATATGTTTGCCAAGTTGATTGGATTCCTATGTACAGATAGATAAGTAATCAAATATGGAAAACTAATTCTCTCCTTCATGACTCTCCCACCCTAGTTTCTTTTGTGTTTTTTACTTTGCTTTTCTTTTGGGGTCACACATTTTGGCAATCCTCAGGGGTTACTTCTGGCTCTGCACCCTGAAATTACTCCTAGTAGTACCCAGAGGACCATATGGGGTGCTGGGGATTGAGTCCAGGTCAGCCGTGTACAAGGCAGGCATCTACCTGTTAATACTGTTGCTCCAGCCCATCCAGTGGTTTTTATTGGGTGGGGGTGTCTCAGAGCTATATCCGGGTCTGTGCTGGGCAGGGGACCAGGTGGTGCGAGGGCTCCAACCCAGGGCTCCCAACTGCATGTACTCCAACCTCCCAGCACTCGTAACCATGACCTGGTGCTATCCCCTCCTTCCTCCAGGATGACACGCCATGGCAAGAACTGCACGGCGGGAGCCGTCTACACCTATCATGAGAAGAAGAAGGACACAGGTATGGGTCCTCCTACCTGCTGCCACCTCATTGTCACACCCTGTGCAGCTCTGTGGGTGACCCAAGTCACTGTTGTCAAGGGCCAGTTCCTAAGGAGGAAACTGAGACCTAGAGAGGGGTAGGCTCTGAGCTGCGACCCACAGCCAGGAGGGGAGGGACTGGGTGCCTCAGACCATCCTTGTATCTGTCACTGCCCTTCCCAGGATCGTGTCCCTAGCCCCCTAGCTCTTGTCTGCTTGTGTTCCTCTGATCGCCCTGTCTCTAGGTCACCTGTCCCTTCACACCCCTTTCTCTGTCCCCAGCGGCCTCGGGCTATGGGACCCAGAACATTCGGCTGAGCCGTGACGCTGTCAAGGACTTCGACTGCTGCTGCCTGTCCCTGCAGCCCTGCCATGACCCCGTGGTCACGTGAGTGGCAAGGAGCCTCCGCTTCCCTCAGGGCTCTGCAGACTCCCACAGAGACCCCAGGGAAAGGCAGCGACCCCAGACAGGCCCAGGAGTCAGGCGCTGATCCGCCTCTCGACTGGAGGTCTGCATGCACCACAACTCCCTCCAGACAGCTGCAGAGCCTCAGAGAACATGGCCACCTGGGAACGGGCCTTCCTAAGCTCTGTGCAGTAGACACTCTGTTCTCTTTTTTTTCTTTTTTTGCTTTTTGGGTTATACCTGGCGATGCTCAGGACTCACTCCGGGCTCTGCACTCAGGAATTACTCCTAGCGGTGCATGGGCAACCATGTGGGATGCCGGGAATCGAACCTGGCAAGGCAAATACTCTCGCTGCTGTACTATGGCTTCGGCCCCATGTGTTCTTTTTATCTTCCTTTATTTGTTTTGTTGTGGTGGGACTTTACCTGACAGTATTCTGCATGCTTGGGGTTGCTGCCCATCGTACCAGGGAAAGAAACTGGGTCTTCTGCATGAAAGCATGTGTTCAGCCCGTTAACCTCTCTGGCCTCTGTTTTGTGTTGGGGTGTGTGTGTGTGTTTGTCCACATCCAGTTATGTTGTGGCCCACTCACAGCTTGGTGCTTGGGGGGGGTCCCTTTTTTTTGGAGGACACCCCTTATAATGGTCAGTTTTTACTCCTGGCTCTGTACTCAAGGTTTACTCCTGGTGGTGCTTAGGGGACCATATGGGATACCAGGAATCGAACCTGGGTCAGCCGCATGCAAGACAAGGGCCTTCCCCATTGTGTTATCACTCTGGTCCCCCCTTTTTTTGGGGGGGGTCACTTCTTGTAGTGCCAAGAGACCATGTGGGGCTAGGGACCAATCCCAGGGCTCCTTTCTGCCCACCAAGCTGTCTTGCCACCCTTAGACCACATATTCTCACAAGAGAACCAGCATGTCATTAATGTCTCCAGGGAGAGGCGATGCGTTTCTCCAAGCCTGGCGCTCTTGACCCTAAGTGACTGGGCTGTGGAGGGGCCCACACAGCCCCACTCAGAGGTTGCATGTCTCTGTCTGCAGCCCCGATGGCTTCCTGTACGAGCGGGAGGCGATCCTGGAGTACATTTTGCACCAGAAGAAGGAAATCGCCCGGCAGATGAAGGTGCGGGGAGGAGGAGACTGGCAGAGAGGGAGGCTGGACTGCAGGTTTCTTGGCCTCACAGCTTCCTGCCTTTGCCTTGGCCCCCCCAGGGGTGGGGGGAGGTGGTGGGCAGGAGCAGTGTCCCTGTCCCCAGGTATCACAGGGTAATTAAGGCTCTTGCCTTGCACATGGTCAGCTCAGTTTCGATCCTCAGTGCTATAGTCCCTGAGCCCCTTAGGAGACATCCCTGAGCACAGAGCCAGGAGTAAGTCCAGAGCATTGTGGAAGGGGCAGGGCGACAAAACCCCCACCCCATGAAAACAAAAAAGCCTCTTTCTGGGGGAGAGTGGGCACACCCGGTAGTGCTCCATTGTTAATCCTGTCTCTGCACTCAGGAAGGGGACACGTGGGGTGCAGAGGATTGAACCCTGGTCAGCCATGAACATGGAGGTTCCCTCCATGCTGTGCTCTCTCTGCAGCCCTGGCACAAAAACTCTGGTCATCCAGACTTTAGCATTTGGTACCGTGGGAGGTTGTAGGAATGCTGCAATTTATTCTGCCATTGATTAAGCTGAATTGGGCTTAAACGCCACAGTCAGCAGTTCTGTGCTCAGAGATCACTCCAGGTGTGCTCGGGGGACCAGCTGTGATGCCCAGATCACATCAGGGTGAGCTTTGTGCCCAGCATACCTGAGCAACAAACACATTGAGTCCCCTGGGCCTTCTGACCCCAGGGCAGCCACGGCAGGGCATGGCTCGAAGGCACAGACTGTCACACCACAGAGTCTGGTGCCTGGTGACCTGTACAGAGCACAGTTCCAAGTGCTTACTGTCATTCTCCCTGTGTGACACTTGCCCTGAGCCCGGGAGAGGCCTCCACTATTAGCCCATTTTACAGAGGAAGAAGCTGAGGTCAGCCATGTTTACAGCACTCCCTAGAGGCCACACAGCTCCTCTGCAACAGGCTGGGAACAGATCAGTCAACTGCAGCCAGGGCCAAGGAAGCCAGCATGTTCCACACCAAAAAAAAACCCGTGGGGGCTGAGCTATGCAGGGACATGAGGACAGGCCACTCCATAGAGTCCTGCCCTGCACACTGAGGTTCAACTGGGGCAGTTCCAGCCTCCACCAGGCAGCGCCTCTGCCCCACCTCGCCAGCACTGGCCTCAGTGTGCCCACCAGGGAAATGGGAGGGACATGGAGGATGGCCCCGGCCATGGGCTCACCACCCCCTGCTGTCCACAGGCCTATGAGAAGCAGCGGGGAGCCCGGCGCGAGGAGCAGAAGGAGCTGCAGCGGGCAGCAGCCAATGACCAGGTGCGCGGCTTCCTGGAGAAGGAGGCAGCCATTGTCAGCCGGCCCCTGAACCCCTTCACACCCAAGGCGGCCCCTGGCTCAGGTGAGGGGGAGCAGGGTGAGGGCCTTCGCTACATGAGCTAGGTGCCTCCTGCCTGCAGCCCCTAATCCTCATCTCCTTGGGACAGAGGACGCCCAGCCCGGCTCCAGTGGTGGCCCTGCCAGCAAGGACAAGGACAAAGCGCTGCCCAGTTTCTGGATCCCATCACTGACCCCTGAGGCCAAGGCCACCAAGCTAGAGAAACCAGTGAGTGCGCCCCCCACACATACATAGCGCCCCCCCATTTAGCAGGGCAGGCCAGGACCCCCAATGCTGACGCCCCTCCCTGCATCCGCACAGTCCCGCACCGTGACCTGCCCCATGTCAGGGAAGCCGCTGCGCATGTCGGACCTGACACCCGTGCGCTTCACGTTGCTGGACAGCTCCGTGGACCGCGTGGGGCTCATCACACGCTCCGAGCGCTACGTGTGCGCCGTGACCCGCGACAGCCTGAGCAATGCCACGCCGTGCGCTGTGCTGCGGCCCTCGTGAGTTCCCGGGCCTGCAAAGGGGATGGGGGTGAGGAGGATGCCCCCCACCAACCGTGATCATACCCCCACCCCTACCACAGGGGGGCTGTGGTCACTCTGGAGTGCGTGGAGAAGCTGATTCGGAAGGATATGGTGGACCCTGTGAACGGGGAGAAGCTCACAGACCGGGACATCATCGTGCTGCAGCGGGTGAGCTGTGGGCCCCCTCCCAGTGTCCCCCCTACACCCCAGCAGAACTTCCGCTCAGGCCCCGCCTAGACCATAAACCACGCCCACAGCAGATCAACCCCGCCCATGGGGTGTCAGGCCACACCCCACCCTTCTCTGTTGGGGGGGGGGTGCGGAGGGGGATATTTCCTGAGCACCCAACTCTCCATCTTGGCCTTCTATCCCCTCCCCAGGGCGGCACGGGCTTCGCAGGCTCCGGAGTGAAGCTGCAGGCCGAGAAGTCACGGCCGGTGATGCAGGCCTGAGTTGGAGAACGCCAATAAATGCGCTACCAGGCAGCAGAGCTATGACCCCTTCATTGGCAGTGCCAGTGCTCCAGGACACAGTGGGGATATTGCAGGAGGTGGGAAGAGCAGGCGAAGGATTAAGAGGAGACTCAGCGATGGCACACACCGTGTATTAAACGGAGAGAGTGATGGAGTCACCAGAGCGGTGACAGGGCATCCAGCGTTAGGCTAAGTGGAAATTCCCTGGCATTGTTCCCGAGTCTGCCAAATCTAAGGCAGCCAGAAAGACCCCCCCACGCCCTGCCAGCGGGAGGGAGGACATGAAGTCTAGAGAGGGTGGAGGACCCCCTGCTGTAGGTGGGCAGTACCAGAGAGAGAACAGGAAGAGCGGATAGGGTGCACAGTCCAGTTTGGAGGAGCGGGCTCCAGAGGTCAGGGGGCAGACGGCCTGTGGGGGCCTGGGGACCTTTAGTGAGGTGCACAGCCCTGAAAGTAAGTAGCCCTTTAAGCACAAAAGCTAACTAGAACATTCCATCCAACCCAGATGGACAAAGGAGCCCACGTTTGGTGTCTAGTCCAACTGGCTGGATCCTGCCCTTCCTGGCACACACCTGCACCCAGAGCCTGCCCCTGGCCACTGTTGCCCTTTTGGGGGAAAATTTGTGTTAGTAAAATGCTACAATCCAGAAACCCAGGAACGCCCTCTGAGGCCCTTGACTATTGATTATTTCTTCCTGTCCCTGCCCAGGCCAGAGGGAAAGGTGTGTGGGGGTGGGCTTGGGCAGCGGTGTGGATTTCCCATCCTTGCAGTCTTGGGGACTCCAGATCTATCTACCATTTGTTATAGAGACTTTTAGAATGTTTACTGGGTTCTGAGAGCCTGCAATTCTTAGGTGTCCTGTCCCCCAAAACTGACCCAACTGCCACTAACATTAAATGAATCTACTACTCTCCTCAGTCTCGCCCACACAAGCACCCCGAGGCCCCTCCCTCTTAGCCAGCCCCCACCTATTCTATCCCTCTGCCCACTGTGTTTCTCTTACCACCTTCCCTGAACCACCCTTTTCTCCTTATCAGGACTCCCCAACTGCCCTAAACCTTTCCAGTTTTCTCCAAAACCTCAAGATATCCAACCTTGAGACCTCCCCTCTTTGCTCCCTATGATATACCCCAGAAATAAGACTGCATCCCTAATCCATTTATGGTGCTGGCCTCAGCCCAGCCCTCCAGGAATTTCCGGTCCTGCACTTTACAGAGAAGCTAAGTCCCACTCACCTACTGTCAGGCTGTGGGGTTTGGGGGATTCACAGTTGAGGTCCTCTACACCAGAAGTGGCTCTGTGCATGTCATTGAAGTTTCCAGACAGACCTTGAAAGAAAGCCAGTGGGTGTCGAACCACTGCTATGGTGGAGGAAGAACAAGGAAGTGATGTCTGTCAGGTTTGGTCTCCACAGACCCTGGGCTGAACCTTAGAGCCAGACAGTGGCAAGGACTCCTGCTGGGTGTGCTCAGAAAGCTGCGAAGAACTTGAGGTTTAGGACGGGTTGGCCCACACCCCATGGGATGTAGGGGCTACTCCTGGCTCTGTGCTCAGGGGTCACTCCTGGTGATGTTTGGGGATCCGTGCCAGGCTGGGATGGAATCGGTACCTACCACATGCCAGGCAAGTGCATTACCCTATAAGTGTCTCCGATATCACCACTGAAGGTTTCTAAGTGTCCCTCCGCTAGCTGCCATGCGTGGGTTCCATCCCTAGAGCTGAAAGTGAATGACAGCAACGAAACTATGGGGAGCTTGATTCTGCAGAAGGGCAGCTGGGCGGAAGGAGCAAATTCTGGGTAACCAGAGAGGGGGCTGGGTGAATGGTGAGGTGAAATCTGCATCCAGATTGTGTGGGGGGGTGTTGGCATGTGACATATAATAAAGGGGAAGGAAGTAAAGCTTAGAAATGCGAGTGAAGGAGAATTTCTTTTTTCTGCTTGCTTTTTTTTTTTTTTTTTTTTTTTTTTTTTGCTTTTTTTGGGTCACATCCAGCGATGCTCAGAGGTTACTCCTGGCTCTGTGCTCAGGAATTACTCCTGGCAGTGACAATGTGGGATGCCGGGGATTGAACCAGGTCAGCCGCGTGCAAGGCAAACACCCTATCCGCTGTACTATTGCTCTGGCCCAGTGAAGGAGAATTTCATGAGGAAAAGTAGGCTTCCCTGCCCACCACCTCCATCCTTTTGGAGCCACACCTGACTCTGGCGCCTGAGATCAGACCGTGGATTCCTGGACACAGCACATGCTCCAGCCCTAAGCCAGCTCCCCTAGACTGCCTCGTTGTGTTTTTCTTTTTAGAGTGGCCACCTCAATAGAGTTGGGGTGGGGGTTGTTGGTTATGTTGGGGCTGGGGACACAGGGAGATAGTGCATGTGCCTGGTGTGTGCATATCCTGTGTTTGATCCCCAGTACCCCAAAGCATACCGTGTCTACCCTTGGTCCCCACACTGTCAGGCCTGCATGTCCAGGAGTGAGCCCCACAAAATGTATAGATAGGACTGGAGAGAGTACAGCAGGTGGGGTGCCTATCTTGCATGTGGCTGACTCATGTTTGATCCCCCATATGCTGTAGTGTTTCCTGAGCCTGTGGGGAGTGATTCTGAGCACGGCCAGGTGTGAACCCGAAACAAGATAAATAAAATGTACACATGGATGTCAATTCAGTGATCTTGTGCCTAGGTATATGCCCGAGAAAAACACCCACACTAAAACCTGAATGGAAAAATAAAACTTAGGCCTGATTGAGTATGGCAACAACCACGTAGCCCTAGGTGGAAACGCCGGGTAGAGCTGACTGATGCAAATAAACAGTGTGGGCCGTTCTTATAATTGGATGTTTGCCACAAAGATGAATTACGCCAGGACCACAGCCATGGTACAGCGGGTAGGGCACTTGCCTACATGCGGCCAGCTTTGGCTCCCTCCCTGGCACTGTGTATGGTCCCCTGCCCAGAACCAGGAGTAAGCCCTGTGCACTTCCAGATTGGTCTAGAAATGAAAATATAGGTTCAATCCCCAGCACTACGTACGGTCCTCGAAGCCCCATCAGGAGTGAACCCTGAGTGCAGTCAGGAGACAGCCCTGAGCCAGTGCTCCCAACCCCGACTCCCCCCAAAATAAAAACAGAACAATTTAAAAGCCACACCCAGAGGACTGAGCTATAGCATAGCAGGGAGGGTGTTTGCCTTGCACAAGGCTGACCAGGGTTCTTGACCAGGTCCTTGGCATCCCATATGCACACCCCTGCCCCCTCAGCACTGCCAGGAGTGATTCCTTAGTGCAGTCATGAGTAAAGCCTGCACATTGCCAGATGTAGCCCCAAAACGAAAAACTACACCCAGTAGCTGAGCCAGCCCACAAAATCTACTTTTTAATAAGATGTTAGGCCCCTGCATTAGTTATTACACATGAGTCTTTTTCTACCACTTAAGCTTCAGACACTAGGGGGCAGCATGTCACCGGGGTTGAGAGTTTGGAGTCAGGGTCTAACTTACCTGCATGATACACTCTGATTAAGTAGAAAATGGTTAAAGGCATTAAAAGTAAAACAGCAAAAGCAGGAGGGACAGCTAAACTCTGAAATGAACCTTATACTAGAGTAAGAAGAGTCTTTAAGGTAAAAAGTAAAAACCACGTGATGTTCAACAGACTAAAAGAACGTATCCTTATAAATTCTTATTTTATGTATTTTACTTTTTATAAAAGAATTTTTTAAAAAATTTAGTGGGGGTCGGGGGCTGGAGCGATAGCACAGCGAGTAGGGCGCTTGCCTTGCACGCAGCCAACATGGCCGACCCGGGTTCGATTCCCAGCATCCCATATGGTCCCCCGAGCACCGCCAGGAGTAATTCCTGAGTGCAGAGCCAGGAGTAACCCCTGAGCATCGCCGGGTGTGACCCAAAAAGAAAAAAAAATTAGTGGGGGCACACCTAACAGTGCTCAGGGGCACCTCTGAGCACAGAGCTTGGGAGAACCCCATCCGGTGCTGGGGGATTAAATCCAGACTTATGTAGTTTTATGTTTACAGAAAAATGAGCGCAAAGTACAGGAAGTTGCAGCTCTGGGGCTGGAGGAGTGTCAGGACAGTCACGTTGGGCTCTGCATGCCAGTCACCCAGATTCAACCCCAGGCCCTGCATGAATGCAGCCCCACCATGAGTGACCCCAAGCACAGCTGAGTAGCTCTGAGCACCACTAGGTGTAGCCCCCCCAAAAAAAACTATTGGCTGTGACAGTAGTACAGCAGGTAAGCACTTGCCTTGCACACAGATGACCAGGGTTCGATCTCCAGCACCCCATATGGGAATTCAAGCACTGCCAGAAATAATTCCTAAGTGCAGAGCCAAGAGTAATTCCTGAGCACTGTCAAGTGTGGCCCCAAAACAAAACAAGCGATTTTTTTTTCTTTTTGGCGATGTTCAGGAGTCCTGGCTCTGCACTCAGGAACTACTCCTGGTGGTGCTGGGGGACCATATTGGATGCTGGGGATCAAACTGAGGTTTGCTGCATGCAAGGCAAATGCTGCACTATCACTCTGCCCCCAATAAACACAGTTTTTAAAATTTCCATAGGTAACCTCTTCTTTCACATCTCAGGGTACAGTGGGTAGGGTGCTTGCCTTGCACACAGGGTTTGATCCAGCATCCCAGATGGTCCCCCAAGCACCAGACCCCCGCTTATGATCTCTGAGCACCTTTCAGGGTGTGGTTAAAAAAAAAAAAGAATCTTCTATTAGCAGATGAATTTGTTCAACTGGGGCAATGTTAATACATTGTTATTAACTAAAGTCTAGACCGACCCAGGTTTGATTCTTCCAACATCTCTCGGAGAGCCTGGCAAGCTACCCGTGAGGTATTCCATATGCCAAACACAGTAACAACCAGTCTCACAATGGAGATGTTACTGGTGCCTGCTCAAACAAATTGATGAACAACAGGAGGACAGTGCTACAGTACATCTAACTGTGCAAGAGTAACATGCAGGAGCCAGAGCAATAGCACAGCGGATAGGGCGGCCAACCCGGGTTCGATCCCCGGCATCCCATATGGTCCCCCAAGCACCACCAGGAGTAATTCCTGAGTGCAAAGCCAAGAGTAATCCCTGAGCATTGCTGGGTGTGACCCAAAAAAGAAATAAATTGGTTTCTTAAAAAAAAAAAAAGTAACGTGCTATGCACTTATGATTACAGTAGCAATCAGAATCCTACTCTTTTTTTTTTTTTTTTTTTTTTTTTTTTTGCTTCTTGGATCACACCCAAAAGCCAGAAGAGAGAATGAGTAGTTGCTCTCTCGGTCATTCTGGGTTTTTTGTTTCGTTTTTTGTTTGGGGGCCACAAACAGTGGTACAGTGGTACTCCTGGCTCTACACTCACAGGACATTCCTACTGGTGCTCAGGGGACCATATGGGATGCCAGAAATTGAACCCGCATTGACTGCATGCAGGGCAAGCACCCTACCCACTGTTCTATCTCTGGTCAGTCCTATTCTGAGCACAGCCTCCCACTCCCCCAGCCCCACTGGAACAGTCCAGAGAAGTCAGAATGCTGATTTTCTTTTCTTTTCTTTTCTTCCTTTTTGGGTCACACCCATCCATGCACAGGGGTTACTCCTGGCTCTGCAATCAGGAATTACTCCTAGTGGTGCTCGGGGGACCATACAGGATGCTGGGAATTGAACCTGGGTTGGCTGCATGCAAGGCAAATGCCCTACCCGCTGTGCTATCGCTCCAGCCCCTGAATGCTGATTTTCTTGTTCCTCTCCTCTGCTCCATTCACGCTGCCCCCACTGCTTCCCAAAGGGCAGGCCAGGCTTTCTGCCTCCACAGAGCATGTTTTGGCGCCTTTCAGGCCTTACCCAGCGATATTCAGTGACTGTTCACAGACTGTTCACAGCAGCACCTGGGGCTCCCACATGCAAAGCTCAGGCCTTTGTGTTACCTCCCTAGACGACCTGTGGGGGCCCAGGAACATTCTGGAAAGCCTGCCAGTCCCCAGGTCTCTGCTTTAAATTCTTTATTTTTTTTCTTTTTGGGTCACACCCAGCAATGCACAGGAGTTACTCCTGGCTCTACACTCAGGAATTACTCCTGGCCGTGCTCAGGGGACCATATGGGATGCTGGGAATCGAACCCGGGTTGGCCGCGTGCAAGGCAAATGCCCTACCCGCTGTGCTATCGCTCCAGCCCCTCTGCTTTCAATTCTTGATTCCCCTCCTTCAGCCCTACCACTTCCTCCAGGCCAGTGCTTCCCCCGTCACAAGCCCCAGCTCCTGCCCAAGACTCCTCACCCCTCAGATATACACACAGGGCCCCCAGCACTACATTTTATTGCTTCCCTGGCAAATTTGGGATCTGGGGGACAGCAGTGGACTGGCCCAGGAATGTTTCTCACGGGTGTGCTGAGAGGCTCAGATTGGATTTTATGGGGCAGTGGAGAAGCCAGGAGGCTGGACTTGTCCTTGGGGAAGATGAGGGGTGTGGAAGGTGCTTCCAGTGCTCATGCCCGCAGTGTCTGTGGAACCCCTGGAGTGTGCTGGGGAGGGGAAGGAGGGGCTGGGGGGGGTCTCAGGTGGGGGAGGGGCTGGGAGAGACCAGAGATGAGGGTCGCGGGGCTGAGCCCCATCCTACACGGCTGGGCCACTTGGCCCCTGGGGGACTCTCAGGGCAGAAGCAAGGAGAGGATGGAGACTCAGAGCTCATCATGGTGGCGTGTCAAGTCCTCGCCGTAGTTGGTGGCCTGGCTGCCCACGAACATGTTCCAGTTGCCCAGAATCTCAGCCTTGCTCAGACGCCCATCCTGGGGGAGGGTCAGAGGTCAGCAGGAAGACAAGGGCTGCTTCTGGGACCCCTCTCTGAAACTATGAACCCCAAGTCTCTGTAAACCCTGTTTTGCTCTCCCTGGGTCTCTGTCCCCCTCTCTGGGTCTCCGTCTCCCTCTCTCTGGGTCTCTGTCCCCCTCTCTGGGTCTCCGTCTCCCTCTCTCTGGGTCTCTGTCCCCCTCTCTGGGCCTCTGTCCCCTTCTCTGGGTTTCTGTCTCCCCCCCATGATTTATGTTTGGGGAGCACACCTGGCAGTGACCACGGTGTCCTCTCTCTCTAGCCCCTGGACCCCTCTCTGTGTTCTTGCTCCCCTAGGTCTCTGCCCGCTCTCTCTAGGTTCCTGTCTCCCCTTCTCTGAATCCTGTTCCTCTCCCGCAGTCTCTGTCCCTCCCCAGTTTCTGTCCCTCTCTCGTGGTCTTTGTACTGCCCCCCAGTCTCTGTACATCCCCCTGGCCCCTGGCCCCTCCCGGTCTCTGATCCCCCATCTCTGTCCCTCTCTCACCTTGTCGGTGTCACTCTCCTGTAGCAGGTGATTGGCCTCCACCAGTGGCTGGTCCTGGGCAGGTGGTAGCACCCAGTGGCCAACCTCACTGCCGTCCAATCGCCCGTCCTTGTTCAGGTCCCTGAAGTCCCGGAACTGTTCCCGCTCTGTCTGCACCCAGGCAGGCTCGGCCTCCCCAGGCTCCGCCGTGTACAGATCCGCTGCAGGGTGATGAGGGGCTCAGACACTGCCTGCCTCGCCCCCAGCCCCATCCTCACTTCCCAGCTTCCTGTACCATGGAAAGGGGTTCTGCCCACACCTTGGCCGCCAGAACCCCCAGGGAAGGCAGAATCAGCCTGCTGGGCTCCAATGCATGATTCTCATGACAAGGGGCCTCAATGCCCAGGCCTGTAAGATGGGTGATCCGAGTGATCACCCACAGGAGGGGCTGACTGGGGACTACTGGGACTTACCAGAAAGATGCAGATCAGGCCTGCCACCCAATATGCCTGTCGTTCAACTGTGACCTTTCAGTGATTTCTTTTTTATTTGTTTAATAAAAACAAGCTACAGAGAGTATCCAGGCCGTATGGCAGAGCCTGGCAAGCTACCTGTGGTGTATTTCATATGCCAAAAACTGTAACAATAATGGGCCTCATTCCCCTGACTTTGAAAGAGCCCCCAATATGCCATTGGGCTCTGCTAGCATGCGACAGGGACGAATGGAATCGTTACTGGCGCCTGCTCAAGCAAATCGATGATCAACGGGATGACAAGTGACAAGTGACAATTTTGTTTGGGGGCCACACCTATCAATGCTCAGGGGTTACTCCTGCCTCTGCACTCAGGAATCACTCCTGGTGTTGTTCAGGGGACCCTATGGGATGCCAGAGATTGAAACTCAGATTGGCTGCATGGAAGGCAAAGGCCCCAGCAGCCCCAGCAGCTGACACACTTGCCTTGCATGTGACTGACCCAGATCAATCCCTGGGTCCTCAGCACCCCTCCAGGAGTGACCCCTGAGCTCAGAATCAGGAGTGAGGCTCAAGCACCACGGGGTGTGTCCCAAATACGAAAAAAACAGAAAGTTTTCAACTTTTCTAAACATCTATGGGGGCTGGAGCGATAGTACAGTGGGAAGGGCAAAGCCTTGTATGTGGCTTCGACCCCTGGTATCCCTAAGCATTACCAGGAGTAATTCCTGAGTGCAGAGCCAGGAGCAACCCTTGAGTAGCAACAGTTGTGACCCCCAAACATTTATGCCAGGGACTGAAGAGATAGTACAGCAGGTAGGGCGCTTGCCTTGCACACGCCCAACCTACGTTCAATCCTCATATGGCACCCAGTTCCCTAAGCCCCACCAGGAGTCATCCCTGAGCACCACCAGTTGTGCAACCAAAACCGGGAAAATAAAAGTAAATTTAAAAGCTTCTGTGCTAAAGGATTTTCCCCTGGACTCAATTCTGTGCCCTCTAAGGGCTGGGACAGTGGCAGGGCAAGGGGAGAGATGGGGGACAGTTGCAAGGGCCCCTCCCCTATTGCCTGTGTTGTGCCTATGAGGTTCATGCATGTCACCTGACTTCCAGACACACCCTGGTCCTGAGCGGGACTTAGTGAACACTCCAGGCCTTCCCAGGAGGAGGCGAGGTCAGCTTGGCCACACCTGCTGTTGATCCTAAGCAGGTGAGGTGCTTAGGGACCCTCTCCAGCAAGCCACGGGAGGGGCATGAGTGGACCCTCCTGTTCTAGTGCTCCCCAAGCACTGAGCTGCCCCCACACTCACCGATGTACTCCTCAACCTGCACGTAGCCATCTTTATTCCGGTCCAGGTCCTCCAGCGTCTCCTGAGGAGAATGGGGCATCGAGGTGGGCCCCGGGACTTGGGCAGAGGGGGCCCTGGGAAATTGTGATGGGCCCGCGTGTACATGCACACTCTCTAGGGCTCGCTCGCCATGGGTTATTCCTGGCTCTGCACATTTTTCCCCTTTAGTTTGGGGGTGCACAGGGTTATTCCAAGCTCATGGTTCTGAAGCTGACACGGCGCGGGGGTCCCCAAGGTGCTACTGACATCAAGGCCTCATGAGCAGATAAGACCCCAGGGGGTTGGTCTTGCATGGGAGATTTGTCCCCTACTGTCAGGCCCTCTGGGAGAGGGACCAGGGGACAGGGACTAGATGCCCCCAGTAGTAAGTGCTTGGGAGGTGCCCCGGCAGGGAGGAGCCTGCAGAGCAGAGAGCGGAAGGGCACCAGCCTCCAACTCACAGCAATCACAATGTCCCGCATATGGGGGAACTCCTCCGGATGTAGGAAGGCTGTCAGCTCCTCCCGGGTGGCCATGGAGTCCCCATCCTGGTCAGCCACCCGGAACCGCCGCTCGTCCCGAGCCAGCATCTTCTTGTAGGTCTCAGCGTCATCCACATCATGGAATTCTTCCCCTGGGGAAGAAGGGCAAGAATGAGATGAGCCCTGAAGCAGGGTCCGCCAGGAAAAAGACAAACATGGGATCCAGGGCAGGGGAGTCAGGGCTGGAAGCTGCTCAGTAAGATGGGGCTGGAGTGACAGGGCAGCAAGTACCTTGCATGGGGCCAATCTGCAATTCTATCCCTGGCAAGACAAAGGATCTCCGGGTTCCCACCAGAGGTGATCCCAGAACACAGAGCCAGGAGTAAGCCCTCGGCACTTCATGTTGTGGCCCCAAAACAAAACAAAAGTCCAAGATAGGGTCAGGAGAGATAGTACAGCAGGTAACGTGCATCCCTGACTTGGGAGGGATCTCTGAGCATTAGGAGTAATCCCTGAGCACCACCAGGTGTGGTCCCAAAACAAAAAGAAAATAGGGAAAAAAAGAGGCCCAGGACTGAACCGCACCCATGACAGAATTCTAGGGCTGAGTGTTCCAGGACACACAGAGATCAGGAGTTGGGGGTTTCACGGTGCTGGGAACTTAGAAGCGGATAGACTCTCAAAGGTCAGTGGTCAGATCAGAATTCTGGTTAGTGGGACAAGGCTTCTCAGGACCAGAGTGTCAGGAAGGTCAAGGGTTCCGGTGTGTGAAGGAGCAGGGGAGTCGCCGCATACCAGGCGCGTAGTGGCCATAGGTGGCGTTGCGCAGCTCCTCCCAACCCACACGCCCGTCGCGGTCCGTGTCGTACGTGTCCCAGGCCGCGCTCACCGAGTCCCGTATATGCCGCTGCTGCGTGTGCGCGATCCACGCGCGGAGCTCGGCCAGCGACACCCAGCCGTCGCCGTCCCCGGCACGGTCCATGCGATCCACGATGCGCCTGAGAAGCGGGGTGGGGCAGTCAGACAGGCCACGCCCACAACTCCCCGCTCGGGCGAGACACACCCCTAGAAGGCGGGGATAAGGTCAACGCACCCCGACAAATAGAAGAAACGCCTGTCAATCGAGGACCACGCCCACCTAGGCTCCGCCCCTCAGCGGGGCCCCGCGATTCCGCCTCCTCCGCCGGGGGTTGGCTCCCAGACTTCGGGGTTTAGGAGCGCCTCAGTCAGCGCCCCCAGTGACACACTCACCCACTCTACGTGCACTCGACCAACTCTGGATCCGAGCAGGAAGAGAGGGGAGTTGCACCGCGCCCCTCGTCCGCAGGATCCAGAGACCCACTCTGAACCGCAACCACCCCGACAAGCCAGGGCTTAGGCCACGCCCCCTCGACGCTAGCTCCGCCCCTTCCTCCTCCCCTCCGAAGCCGCGCAAGTCACTCGAGTTTCTCACACTGGCCTAATTTTATTTTGGGGTCACATCCCGCCTCTCTCAGGTGTTACTTCTGTCTCTGCACTGAGGGATCGCTGGTGGCACGAGGGTCGAACCCTGGTCAGCCGCGTGCAAGGCAAGCGCCCTACCCACTAGAATATGGCTGCAGCCTGAGAACTCAACAGGCTGAGCACATTCTTCACATGCGTAAGTTTCGATCCCCAACACTGCACAGCTCCCTGAGCACTAAACGGGTGAATCATCCCTCCACACGGGGCCAGATGTAGCTCCTGAGCAACACTCGTTGTGGCTCCCCTCTACCCCGCCAATGAAAGAGAGCAAGAGATAGAGGAGAGATAGTAATACAAGGGCTAACGGGTGCTTGCCCTGCATGCAGCTGAACACTGGTTCAATCCCCAATGCTATATGATCCCTAAGCAGTGCCAGGAATCATCCCTTAGAAGTCAAGAGTAGCACTTAAGTGGCCTTAAGACCCAACCCCTCCCACCCCTAACCCCAGGACTGGAGCATAGTACAGCAGGCAGGGTGCTTGCCTCGCATGCAGCTGGTGCAGGTTTAATTCCTGGCATTCCATATGGCTGTCCAGAACACTGCAGGAGTGATCCCTGAGCACAAAGCCAGGAATAATCTCTGAGCAAAGCTCAGTGTGCTCCCTCAAAAAAACCCTAACACCCCCAAAAAAGAATGGGTTCAAGGGCTAAAGAGATAACTACACAAATTAAAGAAGAGGTTTTGCATGCAAGTGGTCCTGTTAGATCCTTAGTGCCACATAATTCCCCTCAGCACCACCAGACAACCCTGAATACCAAAGTAGTAGCTACTATGAACAGTAACTCCTGAGCACTGCTGGGTGTGATCCCCTCAAATATAAAATGTGAGTCCATGGGGCCAGAGCGATAGTGCAGCTGGTAGGGCTCTTGCCTTGTGGATAGTTGATTCAAGTTTGATCCCCCAGGACCCCATATGGTCCTCTGAGCACCGTCAGGAGTAATTCCTGAGTGCAGAGCCAGGAATAAGCCATGAGCACTGATGGGAGTGGCCCAAAAATGCAAACAAAAAAGTGTCAGTTCAAATCCTGTGCTCTCGAAGGCCAGAGAAATAGTAGCTTACATGGGACTGAGCTGGTTCAACCCCCAGCACTCCAAAGACTCACCAGAGTTGATACCTGAGCACAGAACCAGGCATGGCACCTCCCCCCAAAAATTCCTATGACCTCTTGTTGGTTGTGTTTGTGTGGATATATCATTTAAACTCTCTGTGCCTCAATTCCCCCCCACCCATAAAAGCAGACTAAAAAATTCCATACCATGGTGCTAGGGGTTAAACGGGTGCATTCAGAACAGTGGCAGGTGCTGTAGAACATACTGTGTCAAACATCCCTCTTCCCCCTCATGCGCAGCCACCACAGGAACAATGGTCACAGGTCCCCTGCTCTCCAGCCACTGCGCCTCTTGTCCCACCCGCTCTCCACCAGCCACTTCTTCACCAGGCTTCTTCCTGCTTCATGCTTACTCTCATGTACTGCCAGCTAGGTACCTACAGGAATTCTTTAAAAACCCAAGGCAGGGACTGGAGCGATAGCACAGAAGGTAGGGCATTTGCCTTGCACACGGCCAACCCGGGTTCGATTCCCAGAATCCCTTATGGTCCCCTGAGCACGGCCAGGAGTAATTCCTGAGTGCATGAGCCAGGAGTAACCCCTGTGCAACGCTGGGTGTGATCCAAATAGAAAAAAAATAACCTAAGGCAGGGGCCTGAGCAGGGACGTGGGGAGGGTGTTTGCCTCGCATGCAGCCAACCTGGATTTGAGTGCTGGCATCCCATATGGCTCCCTGAGCATTGCCAGGAGTAATTTCTGAGTGAAGAGTCAGGAGTAACCCCTGAGTAACACCAGGTGTGATCCAAAAAGAAAAACAAAAGAAAAAAAAAAAACACCAAAAAACACCAAAAGCAGCTAAACATTCTCCCTGCCTGGTGCCTTCCCCTAATTCTCAGTGGACTCAGAGAGAAGATTAAATCCTCGCTGACCCCAAAGCCCCTCATGCCATCTCTGCACTCACCTTCCACCATGTCCCCTATACCCACTGGGCCCTCACAGTTCCCACCGTCTGCCCCAGGGGCCCCACCGCTGCTCTCTCTAGCTGGAACTCTGCTCCCTTGGGTCCCACTGGATTAGCTTCTCACCCAGCGGTCCCCTGCTCTTCCTAATTCCTTATGTAGTACTTCCTTATTTGGGGCTTAAGGACCGCACCTGACTGTGCTCAGGAGTTATTCCCTGCTCTAAGCTCAGAAGTCGTTCCTGGCAGTGCTCAGAGAGAACCACACCCTACAAGGGATGGGATCCGGGCCTGCCATGTGTAGAACAGTGATCTCTCAGGTCCTGCCCTTCTGCTTTCAAGTCACCATCATCGAGGGGCAAGGGTGGAGAGAGAGTATGGGACTGAGGGGCTTGGCTTACATATGACCCAACCCAGTGGGTCCCCAACAATTCATGGCCCCCAGAACACCAAAGCCATGACCTTTGCATCCAGAGCAGGGAGGAGTAGTTTCTAAGCACTGCTGGGTGTGGGATTAGTACCCCAGCGAAAGGTACCAAAAAAGTTACTTCCAGGGCTGTAGTGGTAGGGCATTTGCCTTGCATGCAGCCAACCCAGGATAAGTCCCTGACATTTCATATGGTCCCCTGAGCCCTGCCAGAAGCAATTCCTGAATTCGGAGTCAGGACTAACCCCTGAGCATTGCCGGGTGTGGCCCAAAACCCTCCAAATAAAAATAAAATCAAAATTAATTCAATTCAACCTTGATGGGGCAGGAGCAAAAGAGCAATCGCTCTATGTATGAGCTGTGTGAAATTTTTTTTTCTTTTTGGGGCACACCCAGAGATGCTCAGGGGTTACTCCTGGTTTTGCACTCAGGAATCATTCCTGGTGGTGCTCAGGGAACCACATGGGATGCTGGGAATCGAACCCGGGTCAGTCATGTGCAAGGTAAATGCCCTACCTGCTCCAGCCCCTGTGTGCATTCTTTGCATGCAAGACCTGAGTTTGATCCCCACTGCTGAATAGTCCTCCCAGCACTGCCCAGAGTGACAACTACAAGGAGCTGCAGGGGGCTGGAGAGATAGTACAGCGGGGAGGGTGGTTGCCCTGTACGCCACTGATACAAGTTCAATCCCAGGTATCCCATTTGGTCCCCAGAGTCCACCAGGAGTAATTCCTGAGTGCAGAGTCAGGAGTAACTCCTGAACATTACCAGGCGGGACCCAAAAACCAAAAAAAAAAAAAAAAATCAGTAAAGGGAGCTAGATACAGTCCCTCAGCACCTCAAAGTGTGACCCAATTCTGGTTACCCAGCTGTGTTCAGGGCTTACTCCTGGCTCTGTGCTCAGGGATCAAAGGGGTCATATATGGTGACAGGGATCAAAACATGCAAGACAAAGCCCTAGCCACCACTTCCAGCCCCCTAAAAGAAACGTTTTCTTTTGCCTTTTTTATTATGAAGCTAGAAAGTTTTTGTTGAAACTTATTTAGAAAAATGTGAGGGAGAGAGTAGGAGAAGCGTGTGTTTGAGAAACAGATTTCTCCAGCGTGGAAATAGGCAAGCAGAGAAACAGGGATAAAGCAAGATCCATGTTCAAGAGCGAGCCTACAAGTTTTCTTTTTCACAAAAATAAGATAAAGTCAACAGCCTGCACCCCTGGCTCGTCACCCCCCTCCTTCCCCCCACGGCCTCCTCCGCAACCCTTTTCCTACCCTAGACGAATCTGGCTTTCCTCCGGGCTGAGCTGGTCGAATTCCTTGGCCACCTCTCGTCCTAGGAAAGCCTCATGGTCGTACTGGAAGTTCCCGTGGGCGTCATCATGAGGAGCCTCGCTCAGGGGGGTCTCCTGATGCACCCGCCCGTGTCCATGTGGGCCGGCATCGGGGGATGGCTTCCCTTGGGCCCCTAGCCTGAGAAGCAGCAACAGCAGCAGCGAAGGTGGCCACATCATCATTGCCTGGAGAGCAGCGAGGGCTAAGAGTCAGGGGCCAGAGGGAGGAAGCACGCTGCGGGGGTAAGACCTAGGACCCCCGCACAGAGCCAGGGACTGAAGCTAAAAAAGTTTTAGACCCAAGGAGAGCCAGGGCTGAAGGTAAAGCGCGGGGCTTTCGGAAGCAAAACCATACGCGAGTCCCAGAATTGCAAGTGGTGATGGGGGGGGAGCGGGGGGCGGGGGGCGGTTACTAAAGAGGGTCTACGTGGCCGCGCAATTTCCAAGAAAGGAGCAGGGTGGGGCCGTTATCAGGAGGAAATTTGTCCCGGGATCCTTAATCGCTTCTATCTGAACCCTAATTCCCAGTCCGACGGATCCGAACCGTCCTCCTAGACAGGAGCCCCACTCCACCCAGCCCGGGTCACCCTTTACCCAGTTATCCAGATCCACTGAGCCCGCCACGCTCGCGGTCCGGATTCTCGGCCAAGAAGATGCCCAGAGCAGCGGGCTGCTCTCTGGCCAGGCCCCGCCCTCACCGCGGCAGGCCCCGCCCTCTGACCAATGAGCGCGCAGGATTACCCCCAAAGGGCGTGGCTGGGGAGTTCTGGAAACGCTGCACACGCCCCTCGCCACGTCCACAAAGACCAGCGCAGCCCACGCCGCTCCTCCCAGCCCCATCTTGAGGTCGGACGGGTGGGCCACGCGGTATTGAGGCGGGGAGGGAGGCCTGCAGCCCTGCCCGAATGCCTCCAGTTGTCCCAGCCCCAAAGTCTCATGGAACACGTATTTTCAGTCTTTCCCTTTATTAGGATAGTCTGAGAAACTGCAGAACCAAGGGCCCCGCAGGAGGCATCCCGTCCCTTCCCCCAAAGAGGCAACGACGCTTCCGCTTTGCCAAGGAGCAAGTCGGCTTGCTGAGGAGGAGTCTCTCTCACACACACACACACACACACACACACACACACACACACGAATCCAGAAAGTGGGACTGGAGCGATAATACAGTGGATAGGGTGTCTGCCTTGCACGCTCCGGACCGAGGTTGATCATGGGCTCACTCATATGGTCCCCTGAGCACTCCCAGAAGTAATCCCTGAGTGCAGAGGCAGAAGTAACACCTGATCATCACTCAGTGTGACCCAAAAAAACAAAAAGAATCCAGAAAGTATCAGACAAGAAGTCCTCAAAATGTCTATCAGTGTAGGCACACACACACACACACACACACACACACACACACACACACACACACACAAGAGAGAAAAGGATAATAGAAAACTTGGTATATAAAATTGGTAGATCCTGGGGCCAAAGAAATTATTCAAGGAACTGAAGCACAGATTTTTTTTGTTTTGTTTTGGGCGATGCTCAGGGGTTACTCCTGGCGGTACTCAGAGGACCATATGGAATGACAGGGATCGAACCCTGGGTTGGCCAAGTGCAAGGCAAACACCCTACCTGCTGGACTATTGTGGAGCACAGATTTTATATGTAGAAGGTTGAAGTTTTAATCTCAGTCATCACATGGTCTCCTGAACACTGCCAAGAGTGACTCATGAGCACTCAGCCAGGAGTAGCCCCTGATAACACTGTAGCACTGTACTCCCATTGTTCATCAGTTTTCTCCAGCAGGCCCAGTAACGTCTCCATTGTGAGACTTGTTGTTACTGTTTTTGGCATATTGAATACACCATGGGTAGCTTGCCAGGCTTTGCCATGCAAGCGAGATACTCTCGGTAGATTGCTGGGCTCTCCAAGAGGGGTGAAGGAATCGAGCCTGGGTTGGCCCAGTCGGCTGTGTGCAAGTCAAACACCCTACCCGCTGTGCTATCGTTCCAGTCCTAAGCCCCTGAGTACAAACTAAAATAAAATGAAGGGGCTAGAGTGAAGGCACAGCAGGTAGGGCGTTTGCCTTGCACATGGCTGACCTGGGTTCGATTCCCAGCATCCTATATGGTCCCCTGAGCACCACCAGGAGTAATTCCTGAGTGTAGAACCAGGAGTAACCCCTGTGCATCACTGGATGTGACTCAAAAAGCAATTAAGTCCACACGGCAAAGCCTGGCAAGCTACCCATGATGTATTCAATATGCCAAACACATTAACAACAAGTCTCAAAATGGAGATGTTACTGGGCCCACTCGAGCAATTTGATGAAATAAATAATAAAATAAAATAAAATGAAAATGACAGCATGGAAGTTTCAGCCTTTGGAGATGAGAGGCCCCAGGCTCACCATTCCTTCCCCCCTCCCCTCCCCCCCCTCCCATTACTGTCTCTGCCTGGAACAGTCAAATGATGAAAACACACTGATTTGGGCCCAACTCATGTTATATGTGGAGGATGAAGAGAAACACAGATAATAGGAAGGGAAACTGTGGCAGGCCACAGGAGGAGGAATCCACAGGGAGGCGTCAGGCCTGAGGTTTCTGGAGGCTCAGGATTCCAGATGTCACAGCATGAAAGAGACCTGACCACAGTAGGAGGAAGCGACCAGGCTGCGGACAGCAAATATCAGCTCAGTTCCTGTCCTAAGAGTGGGCGTCCTTGGATTGGCCAGGAGTGGGCAAGAGGGCACCAACATCATCTCCTCTGAAAGAGATCCACTGAACTGTGGAAAGAGCAGAGGGATGGGCATGAGCGTCTGCGATACAGTCTTGGCACAGAGGTTAAGGTGCTGGCAGTGCCTGGGCGCACCCGGGCCCATCTCTAGCACCACCTCTGGTCCCCTACACACTGCAGAGTGAACCCAAACCCCACCTCCAAAGAGAACAAACAGAATCTTGGGGCTGAAGTGATAGCCCAGCGGTTAAGGCGTTTGCCTTGCACACAGCTGACCTGAGTTTGATCCCCAGCATCCCATATGGATGCTCGAGCGGGCCCAGTAACATCTCCATTTTGAGACTTGTTACTGTTTGGTCCCCTGAGTACGACCAGGAGTAATTTCTGAGTGCAGACCCTGAATATCATGGGATGTGGCCATGATAAACAAACAAAACCTCAGACCCTCCTGATCTTGAACTGCTCCTCCCCCATGCCTCTTGCATACAAGTATGTACATATATGCATAGGTGTGCGTGTACATGTGTATGCATGTTGTGTTTCTGTCCCCAAATCCAAACCTTTGTTGGTTTGGGAGTTTTTTTTGTTTCCTTCCCTTTTTGGACCACACTTGGTGGTGCTCAGGAATCACTCCTGGAGAGCTTGGGAATCCTCTGGGGTACTCAGGATCAAACTCTGTGAGGCAAATCCCTCCCCATTGCACAATCTCTCTGGCCACTCCAAGCCTTTTTTATGTTTTTGTTTTCTTGCAGCAGGTGATGGAGGGGGCCACACCCAGTAGTGCTCAGGGGTTATCCCTGGCTCTGTACTCAGGAATCACTCCTGGAAGCTCAGGGACTCATATGGGTGCCAGGGATAAAACCTAGACTGGCTGTATGCAAGGCAAGTGACTTATCAGCTGTACTATTGTTCCAATCCCTAAAGTCTTTTTTTTTATGTGGGGTGGGGGGGGGAGTGGGGGAGTGGGATGTCTCTCCTGGTGGTGTTCAGAGGCTACTCCTAGCTATGCTTGGAGATGACTCCCACTGATCTTGGGGAACAAAGCCAGGTCTCATGCATGCAAATTACATGCCCTAGTCCACTGACCATATCTGTGCCTCCCACATCCCAAGCCTCTGCCCACCACCCTTTCTCAGGGTCTTTTCTTTTCCTCTCTGGTCTCCATCCTGGTCCCACCCCTACCCCAGAAGCTTATTTCCCTCTCCTGGGGGGTCTCTGTCTCTCCAGAGCTTCCTGCCCCACACACCAGGCAGTCCGTTCCTCATCTTCTTCCACAGCAGGACTCCCCCGACAGCCCCCGCGATGAGCAGGACACCCAGGACCAGGCCCACTACAGGCACCGATGACTTGTAAGGCGTTTCTGCAATCAGAGAAGACCCCTTCCCATCTGAGTGGGGACAGGGGACGTGGTGTCCATGCCTCCCACGCTCAGCGACCCCAGCACTGAGTTTGGAGGGGTGCATGGAAGCACCACCACCCTAGCTGCACAGCAAGCGGCACAGCAGGGGAGGTCAGGCTTATGGAGACGCAGAAGTGAGGCAGCGAGGGATCAGTGGCGGTGAGTCATGGCAGGAATGGACAAGGAAGAAAGAGGCAGATTCCACATGGACACAGTGACAGCGGGACAGAGGCGATCGCCAGGCTTACAGACAGGCCCATCTGTGGTGCTTCCCAGGAGCCCGATCCGCAAGATTAGTCACAGCAAGATGGAAGGTGGTCAGACTTGGGCAGGATCGACAGAAAGCAGGGCTGTGGTGTGTATGCCCTGCTTTCATCCCATGAAAGCAGGGAGCAGGGCTGTCAGTGGCGGTTGCACAAATTTGGGACTCGGGTAGCAGCAGCAGCAGCAAGGGAACAGAGGCCCCACGGGCAATGAGGGATGTGCCTCACCCAGTTCCACCGTCAAGGGCTTTGCCAGCCCCGCATGCTGCACCAGGCAGCTGTAGTGATGCTCATCCCCGCTCCTGACGGTGAGTGACGTCCAGGCGTGGAAGGAGCCGTCGCCATTCGGGCCGAGGCCGCCCTCCCCGGAGCCGGCTGCCAGCCCGTTGCGGAGGAAACGCAGCTGCAGCTCAGGTGGATAGAAGGAGAAGGCACTGCACGTGAGCACCGAGTAGCCAGGGCTACTTGTCCGGGCCTTCAGGCGCATGGAGGGCGGCTCTGCGGACACAGCACACATGACAGGGCTCAGCACTAGAGTCCCCCAAGCCGGGCCTGGGCCAAGAGGGGTGGACACACAAGGGCCCCTGGTATGTCCATCATGTCCAAGAGACTCTGCCCAGCTCTGGGCATCAAGTGGAGAAAGGTGAAAGGAATGACAGACATGGGTACAAATAAGACACAGAAAGCAAAAAAGGAAAAGAGGGTGCAGGGGGCTGGAGTGATAGCACAGCGGGTAGGGCATTTGCCTTGCACGCAGCCAACATGGCCGGCACAGGTTCGATTCCCAGCACCCCATATGGTCCCCTGAGCACCACCAGGAGCAATTCCTGAGTGCATGAGCCAGGAGTAACCCGAGCATCGCCGGGTGTGACCCAAAAAGAAAAAAAAAAAAGGAGGGTAATGAGTCCAGCGATCACCTGCTGCCCGGACACAGTCTGTCAACACAGGAGACCGAGTGGAACACGGTCAGCTACAGTCCCCGTCTTTGAGTTTATGTTCAGACAAGGGATTTCTGTCTCGCCAAATGAAAGACAAGCAAACTGTGAAGCTTTGTCATGACTAGATAAAAGTTTCACCCTCTAGACATTAAGAACATAGAGGAGGCGGGTCGGAGAGATGAGAGTGACAGTGGGCAGGGCACTTGCCTTGTATGCTACCAACCCAGGTTCAAGCCCGGGCACTCCAGAGGGTTCACCACACCCTGCCCGTAGTGATCTCTGAGCGCAGAGTCAGGAAGAAGCCCTGAGCACCGCCGGGTGTCACACACACACACACACACACAAGCATACACACCACAGACACACACACACAC